TGTTCTTCTTCTTCACGTTGCTTACACTCTGCTTTAGAAAAATGTTTGAGGGCCCGAAATCAAGGGCTCGAATTTGGCTCGAAACGCAAAACGACATCGTTTTGTGTTTCGAATTTTTTTTTTTCCTTTTTCTTCCTTTTCTTTCTTTCTTTTCTTCTTCTTCTTCTTCGTTTGAACACAGGCGAGAAAGAAATAGAGGCGAGAGGCGAGAGAGAGTCGTCGTCGTCGTCGCAGCTCGTCGGCCGATCGTCGCAGATCGTCGCTCGTCGCTCGTCGCATCGCAGCCCGCCTCCGCCTCCGCCTGTGCCTCGCAGCCCCCGCCTCCGCCCCTTGCCTCTGTCTCCGCCCCCGTTCCCTACCTCCGCCTCCAGCCCGATTTTGTTGGCCCCCTCCAGTCCTTCTTCTTCTTCCTCCTTCTTCTTCCTTCTCTTCTTCTTCTTTATTCTTCCGATTTTCTTCTTCTGAAAAAAATAAAAAAAAATAAATCAAAACGACGAAACAACGTCGTTTTGATTTTCGGAGAGATTCGGGAAAGGCAGATTCGAGCTACCAATCACTTCTGTAATTTAAATTATTAATTTTGTAAGTGTGTAAATCATTTACAAAAAAATTAATTTAATATGATAATTATAATCAAATAATTTAATGAGATTTGTATTATAAAATAAACAAGTATGAATTTGAAATGGATTGTGCCATTTTTTAGTAAAAATCTAATGAAATTATATTGTTATAATTATCATATTAATATAATATTTACATGAATAATCTATACATATTTAGAGCGAAAAGAAAAAAGAAAAAAGAAAACTGTACATATGAATCTATAAAATGAGTAACTCAAATCACCATAATAGACCTCCAAAAGGAGCCAAACCCTTCTCATTAATGATAATATTATTTGCTTTTTTTTCATCCATCTATATCATATACATGGCAATATATTATTTGTCTTTCTTAATTTCTTAAAAATTATTTGTAAAGAAGAGAACCAATCATAAGTATCTATATAGGCGATGATACAACATGGTGTCAAAAAATAGTGGTATATAGCATTTTTCTTTCCCCCAACATAAAAGCTATTATATTCTTTTTTTGTAATTTTGCCTGATTATAATGTAAAATAATATATTATTAGTTGTTAACAAATATAAAATATAACAACATGATTGCGGCTTTTTTTTATATATTAAAATAATCAATAAAAATAAAATAAATTAAAATAATTAATAAGGTAAAATGTCACATTCAAATTATAATTATTATTTTTTTATTTTTTTTACAATCATCAAATTAACTTTTTAAAAAAAAAACTATTATCTCAAATACAATTTTCTAAGTCAAAATACTTAAATAGTCAAAAAAAAAAAATTAATTAAAATAATCAAATTCCCAAACGGGTATGAGGGTGTCCAGTGTCCAAAAAGTCTGAAATGAAAAGAAAAGAAAAAAATATAAAGAATCATTTCCAAGTAAAACTCTGAGCCATGTATAAAAATGGGAAAACAGATCAGCCAAGCACGTTCCTCGCTTGTCTCTCCACATCTTCCCCCATTTTGAACTGGTTTTCCGATCACATCACATCACTTCTTTTCTCTCTCTCTCTCTCTCTGTCATCTTGACAGCTTGACAGATTCACTCTCCTCATTTTTTTTCTCCAAAAAAATATAACAACAAATAAAAATACACTTTTTCACACACAATCTTTCTTGTCTTTTCTATTCATTTGTTTTATGCACACAGATCTGTATCTGATTTGAGTTCAACCCCCCCTCTCTCTCTCTCTCTCTCTGACCATTTGTTGCTGATTGGTTGACAACTGTGCAATCCCTGGTACGCTCAAAACAGTGTTTCACTTTTCAAAACACAAAAGCATTTTATTTGTTTTTGCTCAAAAAAGGTGGTAACAACATGTTTCCAATTCACAATTACCAATGCCATCAATATGTGTGAATGTATATATATGTGTGTGCATATCAACATATCACATTTATGGGTTCTTTTTGTTTCTTCAAGTTCATCACCATCTCCATATCATTTCTGGGTTCTCTCTGTTTCTTGAAATTTTTCCATACCAACAATACTAGGAATTCAAATAAAGTACCCAAAAAGAGCATTGTGTTAGATCATATTCATTCACATCACACTATCGTATACTTTATTTTCAAATCTTTTTCGAGGTACATAACTTTTATGTTTGAATGTATGTATATATGTATAGGCATTAATAGGTTGAAGATTCATAGATTCAAGTTGCACCAATTCCATTTATGCATCTCTAATAATGCTGGGATTGATCCCTCTTTGTGGTTTTGAATATTGATCAGATCTTGTTTTCTCCACAATTTTCGGTTGTAGGATCAATTGGGTATAATTGGGAAATACTCGGCATTGGCATTATTTTAATGTTATAAAGGGTTGATCAGAGGGAAGAAAACAAAAAAGTGGCTTAGTAGTTGAAGAATCAAAGATTGGATTGTAGTAAAATTTGGATAGAAGGTTTCGGATTATTGGAGAAGGATGAGTGGAGCTGTGCTAGTAGCTATTGCTGCTGCCATTGGCAACTTTTTGCAAGGATGGGACAATGCTACAATTGCAGGTATGTCCCATTGTTTTATCATACTCATTGTACTGTTCTTGTATATAATGTATATTGATTTCTTGAAAATCGCTTTCATTTGATGCAATTTAACACTTGAGTCTCTGTATGATATCTTTGTTCTTCTGTTCATTGATTTAGATCCATTTCATGACATGATTGTCATCTGTGTAAAAAGATTCTTACATCACTTCACACATTTTCTGTTTTGAGTTTGAAATCATTGCTTTGGCGAGGGTGGGGTTTGGCACAACGGTAAGGTTGCTCTATTGCGATCTGGGCATCATGGGTTCATACCCGAAAACAGTCTCTCTGCATGTGGAGTAAGGTTGTATTTATTTAACCCTCTCTAGATCCTTTATTAGCGGGACCCTTGTGCACTTGGACTACTTTTTTTTTCTTCTTTTTTTCTTTTCTTTTTAGATATTAGGATTGTTATGATGGAATAAACGGAAATGAGAAAGTAAAACATAGCAATCACAAAAGAACACAAAGATACATATAGTTTGACTATAAGCCTTTGTCCACGCGTGAAGAACAATAGAGTTTTACTACCAAAAGAGGAGAAATTACAAAGAGTGCTTGTTTTTCTCCAAGCCATTTGTAACAAAATTTCTATCTAATATCATTACCCTAATCCCCCAAAAGAGCCCATAATATATTTACTAAGATCCGAATAAAACAAGAACTGAGTTGGACCTAACGGTTAATCAGGCCGTGGAGGTTACCAACGGTTTTTAAACGTAAACCGAGTAGAATATGAGACACCAACGACAAGTACAGTGTTGGTAAATGACATAAAATTTGTGGGTAGTAGAGGTTAACTTATAGAGCTTCACTGAGTGTACAGGCTTTTAACAGGACATATATGTCTTTTGAATCTTTATTAAAATTTAACTTGATTTTTAGTGTTTGCTGTCAACTAATTTGGTTATAGATCTCAAATCTCACTGCTAAAAGGACAGCACATCTGATCTGATCTGTTGCAGGGTCCGTTCTTTACATCAAGAAAGAATTCAATTTGCAGAGTGAACCAACAATTGAAGGCCTAATTGTGGCAATGTCATTAATTGGAGCAACAGTGATCACAACATTCTCTGGACCCGTATCAGACTCTGTTGGTCGTCGTCCCATGCTGATAATCTCATCAGTTCTTTATTTCCTCAGCGGCCTAGTAATGATTTGGTCTCCCAATGTCTATGTTCTGCTAATAGCAAGACTGTTGGATGGGTTCGGAATTGGCCTAGCTGTTACTCTCGTTCCTGTCTATATATCCGAGACAGCCCCACCAGAAATAAGAGGACTGTTAAATACTCTCCCACAGTTCACCGGTTCTGCTGGAATGTTTATGTCATACTGTATGGTCTTTGGAATGTCACTGATGGATGCACCAAGCTGGAGGTTGATGCTCGGGGTTCTTTCTATTCCTTCTGTTGTTTATTTCGTTTTGACAGTTATGTTCCTGCCTGAATCTCCGAGGTGGTTAGTGAGTAAAGGCCGGATGGTAGAGGCTAAACAGGTTCTACAGAGACTACGTAGCCGGGAAGATGTCTCAGGTTCGATCAATACTTCTATTTCTTAGTGAATGGCATGTTTTTTTTTTGTCACACATATGAAACAGGAAACTGGCAACGTTATCAAATGACTCCTAAATATTTTCACACCATTACTTCTGTTTATTAGTAAATGGTTTATTTTGTCTCACACACAAGAAAGGAAACTGACAACTTTATCAAATGACTCCAAAGTTGTCTTTTATGCATTCATCATTTTCTCTGTGATAATTCAGTACACATATAAAAGTTATTCTACCTAAACCGAAGAACCTACTTCACTTATCAAGGCCTTTGATGTGATTTTTTTTCAGAATTGCTAGTGTTTGATATTTAATTTGGAACTAGAACTCGATTAGAGTCCATCAAATTAGTGGAATCCAAATGAATAATTTTGTAGTTAATATATCTTGGCATTGCGAATGAAGATATTGTATGCAGTCTCATATCCCAATTCATATATTAGTTGTTGTATCCTCGACAGATGAAAGCTAATTCTGATTTGGGCACTTTCTTTCACTGTTCCTTATTTCACAATTAGTTCTGAAAGACTAAATTCTCTTTGGAGTCTGTTGATTTCCCACTTGTTGAAAACATAAGTGGAAAAAAAAAAAAAATAGAAAGAAAGTTATTCGACACAATTTATGATTTCTCATCTTAATTTGTGGTTTTTGTTTTTATGCTCAGGCGAAATGGCTTTGCTGGTCGAAGGACTTGGTGCTGCAGGCGAAACATCTATAGAAGAGTACATAATTGGGCCGGCCAACGAGCTTGGTGACAACCCGGAACATGTTCAAGAGAAAGATCAAATCAGGTTATACGGCGCTGAAGAAGGAGTCTCATGGATTGCAAAACCTGTCACCGGTCAAAGCACACTTGGTCTTGTTTCCCGCTATGGAAGCATGGCAAACCAGAGCATGTCTCTCATCGATCCAATGGTCACTCTCTTTGGAAGTGTTCATGAGAAGCTTCCAGATATGGGAGGAAGCATGCGAAGCATGCTTTTCCCCAACTTTGGAAGCATGTTCAACGTGAATGATCAAGGCAAAACTGAACACGTGGACGTGGAGAATGCTGATCACCAGGCGTCCGATGCTTCTGGGGCTGAATCAGATGACAATTTACGTAGCCCCTTGTTGTCACGCCACGGTTCAAACGTGGATAAGGAAATGGGAGAAACAGTCAGTGGAATGGGGATTGGAGGTGGTTGGCAGCTGGCTTATAAGTGGTCCGAGGAGAAAGGGCAAGATGGTAAAAAGGCAGGAGGGCTAAAAAGGATCTATTTGCACCAGGAGACAACACCTGGATCAAGGCAGGGGTCGATTTTGTCGCTTGTGGGCGGTGATGCTCCCGTTGAAGGGGAATTTATTCATGCTTCCGCTCTGGTGAGCCAATCTGCTCTTCGGTCCAAGGATGCGATTGGTCAGTTCCCGGATATGGTTCAACCATCGGAAAGTGCTGCTAGAGGGCCGAGTTGGGCCGATCTTTTTGAACCGGGGGTCAAGCATGCATTGATTGTTGGTGTGGGAATTCAAATACTTCAGCAGGTAAGAACATAAATGGGAACAAAGTGATTTTACTAATTCTGTTATTTGAGATTTTGCTTTCTGTTTCTGTTTTTTTCCGGGAAACACATAAACTTGTTTCACAAAACTGTCTTGGGAAAATTTTCTGAAAATAACCCACTTCTTTAGTAAACACCAAAAAGTAGTTTTCAAAATTTTGAAAACTATTTTTATACAAAAATGAAAGTGATACGACAACGGTGGCTGTTTTTGAACTTTTCATTAAATTTTTTGTTTCTGAAAACATGAAAAGCGAAAATGAAAAATAAAAACAAAGAAAACAAAAACACAACCAAACAGGAATGATTCTTGGGTGAGCAAATAATAGATATAATTATACAGACATCTCTGTGGATCCTTTGAATATGAATCATTACACCTCACATTGTGTTATGCCTTCTTAATCATAGTTTATATTTACTTTCTAGAATTTGAGGTTAAATTGTTCTGTTCCAACTATTTTCATATTATCCTTGCTATTTACTCTATTATAATAAGATTGTAATTTTTAATGCTAATCTCGTTAGGGTTTAGATAAAGGTTTTGCATTGTTTCTTATGGATAATTCTATTATTTATTTATTTTAATTTTTTTTGTGTGTAGTTTTCTGGCATAAATGGGGTTATGTACTACACTCCTCAAATTCTTGAACAAGCGGGCGTTGGAGTTCTTCTATCGAATTTGGGGATTCGTGCAGACTCTGCATCTCTGCTTATAAGTGGTGTCACAACTTTATTGATGCTTCCAAGCATTGGCCTTGCCATGAGACTTATGGATCTTGCGGGCAGAAGGTACTTTTTTTCTTTGATGAGGATGAAGTCTAAATATTTGAAAATTCTTGGTATGGTTTCGTGTTTAAAAGTAGGTTGCTTTCAAAGAATTTTCCTCAGAACAATTTGCCAAGCAAGTCTTTTCTAGAGATGAAAACAGAAAAAGAACGAAAAACGATACCTAATAAGATGCTTCAGTTGAATCTTATGTCACATTTTTTTGTTTTGTTTCGAAATCAGAACTGTTAGCAAAAGAGAAGAGACATGTTTTTACTTTTCCCTACTCTCAAAGAAACTGAAAAATTAGGAAAACTGGTTTTTAAGACTGAAATTTTCACATACTTTCATCATATTTTCATGTCTTCATCATTTTTCATGGTAACCAAACAAGTAATGCTAATTTCCTATCTATTCTCTTTTCCTTTTTCCTTTTTCTTGATTGTGTATTTTCTTCCACAGGTGGCTTTTGCTCTCTACTCTACCGGTCTTATTAGTATCACTTCTCATACTAGTCCTTGGCAACATTATTGACATGGGTTCAGTCGTCCATGCCATAATCTCAACCATTTGTGTCGTGGTCTACTTTTGCACCTTTGTCATGGGCTTTGGTCCAATCCCAAACATCCTCTGCTCCGAAATCTTTCCCACACGTGTCCGTGGCCTCTGCATTGCTATATGTGCACTAACATTTTGGTTTGGTGACATTGTGGTCACCTACACGCTCCCCATGATGCTCACCTCCATTGGCCTTGGCGGTGTCTTTGGAATCTATGCCATTGTTTGCACTGTTGCCTGGGTCTTTGTTTACCTAAAAGTCCCCGAAACAAAGGGAATGCCTCTTGAAGTCATCACTGAGTTCTTTGCTGTTGGCGCAAAAGTTGATTCTGGAAATGACTGAGTGAATTGAGAGTTTTCGTTGGTTTGATTGTTTTGCAATATGAAGAGCAAAATATGCTGATAAATACTGTGATGATAGGATTGAAAAGGTTGTTTAGAGTTGAAATACACTGGTGGTGATGGTGATTATTGGGGAAAAAATTAGAGTAATTTTTATCACAAGGATAGGGGATTGTTTGGCGGGGGAATGCATTTTTTTTTCTTTTCTATTTTAGGCGTTTTGTTTGTGGTTGTTTCTTTTCCTTTTTCTGGTTTTCACAAAGATTTTGATGGAGGAGTTTAATTTCTCTCTGGAATTCTTGTGGATGTTTGAGTTTGTTATTATAAGTATGGATGATACCATTTAGAAAAAAAAAGGCCATTTTTTTTGTATATCAAACTTGTCCACTTTAATTTAATTAAGTACTTATTTTTGCTTGACAATAGGACACCATTTTGGGATTTTTCTTGAAGTTGTGTTATGATTGTGCATAGATTAGATAGACAGATAGATATTCTTGTTACGTGGAAAACTTGTTTCCATATTGAAATGAAAATTAGCCTCAAAATGTTTGGCCAAATGAAATGAAGTGTGTGATCCTGTACTATGCATTCAGGATCAGCTGTAACTTGCATTTATTGTGGAAGTCGCACAACACAACATGTAATGCATATTATTCAATGACAACTAGAAAGTTTTTTGGCGTGTTGTAACTCGACTTTTCGTGCTCCTTTCGGATATGATTAGTTTTATAGTTTGGACTCTCGTGGTTCCGAATCTGATCTCACAAGTACAATGTAAAATAAATAAACACAAAAGAGTCCAAATCTAACAAATTTTTTAGAAAATAGATTTTGAATCAAATATGCCAAAAATGGACTGCTTTGCCAAATTACAGAGTCGTCACCTAAATATTTTTGGAAAATTTAGGAAATTTATGACTCGTACCAAAAGTCACATGCCCATCATTACCAAGATTATCTCAGCTTAGGAATTTAGGTACGAAAGGGGAATGTCATGAATTGAGTACCCCACTCACCCGATCAAAGATCGGCCTTTACTAATCATGATGTGATTTTTATCTATATTATATGCTCTTGTTCCGGTTATTAGGCTAACATTACTATGTGTTGTACACAAATATAGACTAATTTGCAAAAATTGGAACACTTTGATTTCATATTTGTTTGAAAATTGTTTCGAATATGTATCACTTGAAAAAGTGATCTCATATGTACATTTACTCAAATTTATTCCAATTCAAGCAATTAGCCTTCATCCATAGGTATTCAAGCAGATATATCAATTAAGCACTTAGCCTTGTGATATTCATGCTTATCATGGCAATAATCGCACGCATACGGCATGCTAAAGCAATAAGTGCTCACCTAATACTCCACGACAAGCCAAAAGAAATAAAAGAGTTAGAAAAAAAAATGCATGATCCTAATTAACACAATATGACTAATGCAACACATGCAATGATGCAACTTATAGACTCAGCTACTAATTATGACATGCAAATCAATTTGGAAACATGCGATTTAAACACGTATTCAACGAAGTAATAAATGACAATACTTATTAGAATGATGAACTGAGCCTTGATGCATACAAGACAAGTGAATGCAAATCATGAGAAATGCTAAAAGAAACATGATGTTTTAAACTACCCATCATAAGCGAGTAAATAAAAGAGAGAAAGACGTGGGGTTGGAAGACATACACATTATTACAAGTTTTGCCCTCACGCAGAAGGGTCCGAATGAATGTTCTAATGTCCAAATAAACTAACTATTACAAATTCGAATAAATGAATTAAAGAGACAAGCTAGCTATCTACTTCATTACAAATTCTAATGAATACCAAAGTAATGAACTAGCTATCTAAGTTAACTAGCTATAACAATTATAAATAAACAATGACTACAACAATATTAATTAAGTACAACAATAATAATTAATTACAACAATAATAATTAATGATTAATCATCAAACAAGGATGCACAATGCTCGCATTCGCAGTGTCCAGAAACTGGTCTATTTGCCCGGACTGTTCTGTTTCACCTTCAGCTACTGCGCTCTGTTTTCTGCAAAACATATTGCTGACCAAACATTAGAGCCCGGCCGACCCCAAATAAGGCCCAACAGGGCCCAAATAAGGCCGACCTATCACGACCCAAACCCGCCCCTATAGGTTTAGCATTATAATCGGCCAGTAATCCTTGGATTACCAAAGGCCTCTGAACAGAATAACGTATAATCAAGGGGCTGCGGAAGCAAATATACAAAATATTAGCTTCTTAAGGATGCTTGAACCTTTTGAACCGTTGGAACCCTTGGTTTTAGCTTCTTGAGGCGGCTTCAACCTTTTGGACCCTTGGTTTTAGCTTCTTGGGAAAGCTTGAACCTTTTGAACCTTTGCTCCAAGCTTCACCAAGAAGCTTGAACCCTTCTAAGCTTCCAAGAGAAGCTTGCACCTTTTGCACCAGGTTCTAAGAGAAGCTTGACCCCTGTGCCTAGCATCTGCACAATGTTCTAAGAGAAGCTTGACGCCTCTGCCTAGCTTCTCCAAGAAGCTTGGCCCTTTTGCTCCAAGCTTCTAAGAGAAGCTTGACCCCCTTGACCCTTTTGCCTAGCTTCCCTTAGAAGCTTCAAGCCTTCATCTTCTCTATAAAGAGAGGGCCTCTCCTCCCATTTCAAGGGTTAGAAAATCAGATATATATCATATATATATCACTCTCTCTCTATATATATCCCTCTGTCTCTACATTTGTGTGGGTTAGAGGGTGCAAAAGGGTCTAGTTCTTGGCCATTTGAATTGCACCAGGATATGTCCCTATGTTTCCCCCTCTTTGGTTAAGGGCATTTCGAATACGTTCCAATGCTTAAACCTTTCTGAAACACCGGGATACGTCCCTATGTTTCTTGCATGATCATAAGTTATGCTCGGCTTTGTGCATTGTCTTGCATTTTGCCCCTGCCCTCGGGCACATATCTTTGTCCGCTGCTTGTATGCTTTGTCTAAGTGTTCGGCCTTGTCAAAAATGGGTCGTCTCTGGGCTTTGACACTCGCTCCCGTCATTCTTATGACTTTCGATTTCTGTCAAACAGGGGCAACTGTAGATACCGCATTTTTGACCGTCCTCAAGACTTGGGCGTCACCGTTTGAACACTCGGTGATCGTCCTTGCTTGTGTTCGTCTTGAGTTCCCGAAAGTCTCGGCGGCGCGCCTTGCCTTAGGATCTATCGACACGACTGTTTTGTGTTTGGTTTTCCACCAAACACTTGTGTTTTGCCTTTGAGGGGCAGGGAGTGGCTTGATGGCCATCCCCACACATCACCGGCCATGTCCTGAGGCCACCGGCTGTGTTTTGTTTCCATCGGCCAAATATTTGGCCGGTCGGCACTCTGTTTGGTCGGCCGGCCACTGATTTTGGTCAATCGGCCACTTTTTCTGGCCGAGCCCTTTTCTTGAGAGGTTTTGAACCTTTTGAACCCCTATTTTAGCTTCTTGTGAAAGCTTGAGCCCTTTGAACCCTTAGCTCTAGCTTCTTGAGGAAGTTTGAACCTTTTGAACCCTTGGTTCTTGCTTCTTGAGCAAGCTTGAACCTTTTGGACCCTTGGTTTTAGCTTCTTGGGAAAGCTTGAACCTTTTGAACTTTTGCTCCAAGCTTCTCCAAGAAGCTTGAACCCCTTCTAAGCTTCCAAGAGAAGCTTGCACATTTTGCACATTTTGCACAATGTTCTAAGAGAAGCTTGACGCCTCTGCCTAGCTTCTCCAAGAAGCTTGGCCCTTTTGCTCCAAGCTTCTAAGAGAAGCTTGACCCCCTTGACCCTTTTGCCTAGCTTCCCTTAGAAGCTTCAAGCCTTCATCTTCTCTATAAATAGAGGGCCTCTCCTCCCATTTCAAGGGTTAGAAAATCTGATATATATCATATATATATCACTCTCTCTCTATATATCACCATCTCTCTCTACATTTGTGTGGGTTAGAGGGTGCAAAAGGGTCTAGTTCTTGGCCATTTCAACTACGCCGGGTTACGTCCCTATGTTTCCCCCTCTTTGGTTAAGGGCATTTGGAATACGTTCCAATGCTTATACCTTTCCGAAACACCGGAATACGTCCCTATGTTTCTTGCATGGTCATAAGTTATGCTCGGCTTCGTGCATTGTCTTGCATTTTGCCCCTGCCCTCGGGCGCATATCTTTGTCTGCTGCTTGTATGCTTTGTCTAAGTCTTCGGCCTTGTCAAAAATGGGTCGTCTCTGGGCTTTGACACTCACTCCCGTTATTCTTATGACTTTCGAGTTCGGTCAAGGAGGGGCAACTGTAGACACCGCATTTTTGACCGTCCTCAAGACTTGCGCGTGACCGTTTGAACACTCGGTGATCGTCCTAGTTTGTGTTCGTCTTGAGTTCCCAGAGGTCTTGGCTGCGCACCTTGCCTTAGGATCTCTCGACTCGACTGTTTTGTGTTTGGTTTTCCACCAAACACTTGTGTTTTGCCTTTGAGGGGCAGGGAGTGGCATGATGGCCATCCCCACACATCACCGTCCATGTCCTGTGGCCACCGGCTGTGTTTTGTTTCCATCGGCCAAATGTTTGGCCGGTCGGCACTCTGTTTGGTCGGCCGGCCACTGATTTTGGTCAATCGGCCACTTTTTCTGGCCGATCCCTTTTCTTGAGAGGGTTTGAACCTTTTGAACCCCAGTTTTAGCTTCTTTTGGAAGCGCGAACCCTTTGAACCCTTAGCTCTAGCTTCTTGAGGAAGCTTGAACCTTTTGAACCCTTTGTTCTAGCTTCTTGAGGAAGCTTGAACCTTTTGGACCCTTTGTTTTAGCTTCTTGCGGAAGCTTGAACGTTTTGAACCTTTGCTCCAAGCTTCTCCAAGAAGCTTGAACCTTTCTAAGCTTCCAAGAGAAGCTTGCACATTTTGCACCTTTTGCACAAGGTTCTAAGAGAAGCTTGACCCCTTTGCCTAGCTTCTCCAAGATGCTTGGCCCATTTGCTCCAAGCTTCTAAGAGAAGCTTGACCCCCTTGACCCTTTTGCCTAGCTTCCCTTAGAAGCTTCAAGCCTTCATCTTCTCTATAAATAGAGGGCCTCTCCTCCCATTTCAAGGGTCAGAAAATCTGATATATATCATATATATATCACTCTCTCTCTATATATCTCCCTCTCTCTCTACATTTGTGTGGGTTAGAGGGTGCAAAAGGGTCTAGTTGTTGGCCATTTGAACTATACCTGTATATGTCCCTATGTTTCCCCCGCTTTGGTTAAGGGCATTTGGAATACGTTCCAATGCTTATACCTTTCCGAAACACCGGGATACGTCCCTATGTTTCTTGCATGATCATAAGTGATGCTCGGCTTCGTGCATTGTCTTGCATTTTGCCCCTGCCCTCGGGCGCATATCTTTGT